AAAAATTAGGCAAAATATGTTTTTAGAGCCCATTTTGGATGCACACGTCGTGCGGAACTAAGTTGAATCAGCCGGTCAAAACTGATTAAAGTGTGGCTGACAGACAGCGGTACGCATGACGCATGACATCGACAACCATGACGTCGCATGAGCCGGCCAATGATAGTGCAAACATCATTATGAATATATTTCTCATGAATATTTAGTCTATTTCAATGGCTACTTCAAATACGTCCAAAGATTGATTATTGCAACAGCGATCGTGCGCAGCCTAGCGGTTAAAAGTCTCGTGTTTCAAATAAGAGTCCGAGGTTCGAATCTCGATGAAGTAAGTCAAAGGATAGGCCTACAAATTTTGGCGCTTGAAAATTAATTGAAAAAAGTTGTGGCCCAGTACCGAATTTTTTCTGACACTGTAAATATGTTCAGTTCTCTTGTCCAACTTGTCTTTCATTTTAAAAGTCTCTTTGAACAGTTAACACAACCAACGGTTGCAGGAAATTTTAAAATGTCGGCCATCTTGAATAAAATAAAAAATTAAAAATTAAAGGTCCTCCCTTTTTTTCAAAAACCCCAAACAAGAAACTTTTTTTTTTTTACTTCGCCTTAGTATTCTTGTTTGTGACGTGTGTGTATGACTCATACATGGCTTGCCCAATAACAATTGCATATATATTTTTGGCATGATTGTTTTGACTTTTCTGAATGAAAGGTAGGCCTATGAAATGAAAGAGGATGAATCTAACTTGACCCAGTCATTTGTTGAAGAGCAGTTAAGGAGAACAGACACTGAGAATGGCCCACAAGCTTCAAGCACAGCTTCTGACTTTACAGTGCTTTAAGAACACTGCGGTTGACGGTGGTAATCATGATGGTGCTTAAATCAGAAATGTGTTCTGTGGCCTATTGAAATCTAATTTTGTTGAGTACAAATTTGAAGGTTTCCTAAATGAAAATGTAGCCTAGGCCTACCTTCCTTTTCCGTGGCATTTTCTTCTCCTCCGAGTCCTGCAGGCAAATGTTCAATCAAAGCAAGAAACATAGGCATAAGTCTTCCATAAGTTTCAAGGCAAGCAAGGATAAAGGGAGAGGCAAAGATCGCTCATCCGCCCTGAGGTTAATGATGTAAGACTTAAGACTTTGACATGGCTGATGTTGATGGGCTGTCAAAGAGTGGCTCATCATAGGCCTACTAAAAGTTAGTAGGCCTATAGCCTACATGTAGTAGTGTAAGGGCGGTTGTTGCGAATATTTGTTTTGATAGCTGAAAGAGAGGAAACAAAGGGCAGGGTGTGAACATGGTGAGGATGGTGAATGGTAGGCCCCTAGGCCTATTACTAGCCCTGCAGCACTTTTTTTAATATTCGTAAACCGTAATGAAGCCAAGAAGTCTTGAGGCAAATAATCCTTACAAATGAACGCTTAGGTAATAACAGAAAGAATGAATATCTAGATTACCACATCAAATTAACGTAACAACTAGGCCCTAGGCCTACATTCAGTTACAAAAAAGCCTAAATTTATTAAGAGACCTTGGTGAGGACTGGGCAAGTCCAATATGGAATCCCTATAACTTAAGAGCGACTGACTGTTTGATGTTAACATTGAGAAATGAATCTGTCCTTATGACTGTTACAATTGGAAATAACCGTTGATTTATATTCTAATGGAATTATAATAAACTTACTTGATATAGAAATTGATGTTTGTAAACAGTTCCAAAGTATGTCCGTCCGTACGTTCGTTTGTCGATGCTGTTGCCGCCGAGCGAGCGCGGCTGAGTTGAGAGTCGGCACTAGCACTGCGCATGCAGTAGCAACGGTCAAAGTTAATTTAAATGTCACAATGCCTGGCGTTTGATTGGTTGAACGTTTGGTTTGTTTATGTCGCCCGCCGGCGGCGGACCGGTGATGGGTATTTAACTATCCGTAGATGGTGTTTGATTGTTAAATGTTTTTTTAATGATTGTCGCCCGTTAATTTAACGGTGGTGGGTAAGAATTTGTTTATATCGCCTGTTGGTGGTAGTTAACGGTTTCGGTCGTTTGAATTGTGAATCGGTGGCCCTGGAGTACGTCGGTTTGCTTACACAGCCCGTAGGCGTTACTAAATTGACTTTCTTCCCCGTGCAAGAAGGGTTCTTATCATACTACCTCCGAGATTTTGAAGCAGTTTTCATTTTGCTAGCAGCCAAACTATGATTTGATCACGGCTAAATATTTTACACAGGGGTTGTGACTTTATTTTTGGGGGGGGGGCACATTTGATGTGTCACTTTCTGCAACCCCCTTTTTTATAGAAAAGATTCTGAAACGTTAGATTTTTCAAGGGATACAATTAAGGCGATGATAAAGACGTAGACTAGCATAGGCGAAACCTAGGCATTTGTATTTTATTAAAGTTATTTATGTTTACAAATGTTCCATTAGGGAGACGCGTTGGCGTAATTTTTTTTTTTTAGTTGGGAGACATCGGCTTTTAGGGGACTTCACGGTGTCTCCCTATTTTCTAATCCCTAGATAGAGGCAACAATTTTTTTTAAAGATTCTTCAGTGGTCTAATAAATGTGACTTTCAGCTACAGAGATTCGAGTGGGCAAAGTTTTAAGTCGGCAGATCCTGAGGGCTGTTTGGAATGGTATTGTTTCTCGTCCATCCGCCCCTGTATTTAACTAAGACGGCCCCCCCCCCCAAAAAAAACAGACGTTACACAGTTCGTACATTTTTTTAGTTGTTGCCTTACAATAGCATTGAATTTGCCATTAGGAGGCATTACCTACTGGCCTTCACTCAATGTACCTAGCCCCGATTTTCTCACCCTAAATCTAGTTCTGCCCCCTTGGGTGAAATTAATCCCCGCCCCCCCCCCCATCACCCCCCTTTCACAAATTGCCATTACTTTTTTTTTAACGTTGAGTGATGCTTATTGTTGATTGTATATATTTATAAAAGCTGGAACTTCTACGGGATGTCAAGGAAAATAAAACATTGAGAAAGAAATGATGGTTTTTAATTAAAGTTCGTCAATTGATGCACACCAGACACAAAAGAGTGCGCACTGTCGATTTAGTGACAAGATATCTCGTCACCGTTTTCACGAACAGCCACATACTATATATATTATGTTGATTTTGAAGTAAAGTGTTTTCGAGATAATCACAAAAGAAGTTTCTCATATTTTAAAACTGCAAGAAATACTACTTTGCAACAACTTTGTGCAGCAAGGAAACCATCACACGATTCTACGTGAGCTGAAGTTTTACATAAACCCGGTAATAAGACTTAATAAAGCAGTTAATTAGTGGAAATTAATTAGTAAAGATATGTGGCTCTTCGTGAAAACGCAAATTCACGTTTCCGACATATTGGCCCTTTCTGTTCAACGTGTATTTCCATAGGCGCGCGTGAGTACGCGCGCGCGCCTGAAAATGTAACAAAGATATGTGGCTCTTCGTGAAAACACAAATCTCATTTGACCTACTTTTACGTATTTCCGTGCAATGGGTTTTGTACGCGTTCAAAGGGCCAAAATGTATGTGGCTCTTCGTGAAAACGCAAAATGCAGTTAACGAGATTTTTGCCCCTTGCAACATTAATGTAACTTAGAAATTAATGATGTTTTGCTTACAGAAACATGTCAAAATGGTTAAGTACATTGTTTTAATGCGAAATATTGAAAAAAAATCAAAATCGAAAAAAATTGTAATTTTGGACATATGTGGCTCTTCGTGAAAACGGTGACGATCTATGGAAACGACCCCGAAGGTCACGGCGGTATCCACTCTTTTACAAAATGGAGCGCCCTCTATATCAAATTTGGCGAAGTAGCTGAAATTTCAGAAGTAGCGGGACGCTATTTATAAATTACGGATACTTGATGCTTTACGTTGACCTGACAATGTAAAAAAGCATGCCAATATGAAAGAGCTATTATTTTTGGTTGATCCATCCACCGGGAAAACGTGGAACTTCGTTTATTAATTAGAAAATGATGATTGTAGTAGGACGCCAAGCGCCATTTCCGTCCGCCCTTTTGCGGACTTTGAACTTGAAAATTGGTTTAAAAGTTGGGAAATATGCCATTTAACGTTCAAACATCTAATGAAAAATGTGTAGAAAGACTCAAAAAGTTCTTTTCTAGCAATAAAAAAAAAATATTTGTACCATGAAACTGCCAGTGTGTTTGAAAATGTTTGTGGCCGTCCCCCCTTTTACACAAAAAACAGAGAAATTAACCTTCTGCGATACCGCACTGAAAAGCTTTTTGTTGTCAATCAAAATGTTCACGAATTGTTTCTTTTGACAAATTAAATTAAAGAATAAGAGTTATACTACATTTTACTGAAACAAGTATGCAAATATGTAGTACAGTTTAAGCGTAATGGTATTTTTAACCAAGTGATTTTCATCCTGATGCGTTCCTGCATCGGCCAAACAAGGTGGATAATAAATCTACAACTGACAACCCATTTTTCGAGGCTAATTTTCAGCCATTGCGGGGCAAAACAAGCATTTCGATGTAGCAATTAAAGACTATTAAAAGTAAAGTTCTTTTCAAATTTTTTATGAAAACGAGCAATAAATATAGGAGATATAAAATAAAACCGCCCTTTCACAGAAAATGTAAAAGGGTGGATTTTTGCTCACTTCGTGTAGTCTAATTTGAATAATTTCGTGGAAATATTCTTTAAAAAAGGGTGTTTGTAAGCGGGAAAGGTTGTTTTTGTTTGTATATAAATATATACATATATGTTTTCTGGTTGCAAATTATAAAGAGACAGTAATTTGGCCAAAATGAGAGGAAAGGAGCATTGTACGTCTCAGCATGTCTTCGTTTAATAATTGATATACCCCCTGTTACTGCTCCCCCGTCCCAGCTTGGTGCCAGATCCTTTTTAAGGAAATAATAATATATTTACAATGAGAAATCCCAGCCATTAACAGAGATTAGAAGACTCAATTAAAAGCCAATAAACAAAAACACAAACAATCGAGACAGACATGATTTTCCTCATGTTTTTATTAGGACACTCTTTGCAAAGAACAGTCCACATATTACGGATTGCTTAATAACAAAGCCAAAAAAAAGGTGTTTGGCAATTAAAAACTATAAACATTTGTAGTTATTGAACTTTGCAACTCCAAATAGAAAAGTGAGAGTGCAGTCATGTGGTTTTTTTTTAATTGTGCAACCGACTACAGTGGAACACAGATATAGCAAGGTCCTTGGGACTTTACAGATTACCTCATTATAACAAGTACTTTGTATTGTAAGTATTAAAAAACAGACTTGGGACCTAAACGTCTCCTTGTTATAAGCATGATGTTGTATTAACAGCGCTCTTCTTATCAAATAAAGATATCTTCAATCTGAGGCAAAACTGTTCACTGATGTCAAATTTATAAAGAAAAACAGATAAAGGACACTATGTCGAAATATAAAACAGCCTTTTTGAGAGAAACCTGTAGACATTAGCATATACTATAGAAAGGTTTATACATGTACAAGCTATAATCGAGTATGAACACTTCATTTGTAAAGGCAACATTTTTAAAAACGCCCAATTTTAAACGTATTAAATTTATAAAAAAATTAACTGAAGCACCCATTGGATTGGAAATCATGACAGCATGTGTTATCAATTTCAAAGTCAAAAGATATTTTTGAAACATTTAGTTGGAATATTAAGGTTACGAGACAGTCGGGTTACAATTGATTCTGGAGAACAGAGTGTACAGGGACATTTGTGCACGTGTGTATAGTATCATCTATAAACAAACCCATGTAAGCAGGTCAGAGTATTCAATATTTTCTTCAAAACAGTAAGCTCAAAAGGCATAGGTATTTGGAATTAAAGCAAAAGCAGTACTTTTTAAAAATATAAGAGAAGCTAATACAGGTATTTAAGACAAATAAAAAGGATATTCATAAAAACACATTCTACCAAAAACCACTGAGAGTCCAAAAATAACAAGCACAATATGTGTCCAATCCGGCACAGCAGGTCAGTCACTGGTTCCTTAAAAAAAAAAAATCAATAGTATCTACCGAACTGGAAACAAATATATCGACCACCTAGCCAGTTAGCTGGTATGCTTGGGGCTTATCAAAAATGGTTAAAACTGTTCTTAAGAGATGAAATTAATGTCAGTGTCAGTTTGTAAAAATGAACATGTACAAATTGCCGGTAACAAGTACCACATCCTACTGGGGAAACAAACTGTGAACAGAAATAAAACCCAGCTCTATCAAATATGCATGCATGCATTACACTGATTGTGTCTGTGACAAACTCGTCAAACTACGATTCAGAAAGCAAGCAAGCCAGTCAGCAAGATTCCTAGCCTGCCACCCAAAGAACAAAATAACGAGTCCAACTGTCCACAAGTAGACAAACAAATTGGCGGGATTACCAAAATAGCGATCCTGCCAGCCAGGAAGTAAACAAGCTTGGTCCCAATTACATAAAGCTGAATATAGAAACTGTGGCTTACTACAGCAGGAAGTTTTGCAACTTTTAGCACTGCTTCACGGCATAAGCACTATTGTCCATGTTTCGCTTGTGACAAACCTACCGCCCAGTAAGACCGAATATTCGAATATTCGATCGAATGGGAGGTCGATTATTAAATTATTCGAATTACTCAACCCTACTGTTTTCTGATGAGTTTTGCCCCCATAAGTGTGAAATCTGGTTTTAAGTACACGTGTCGGAAAAATTGTGGAAAGTCGAAAACTGATTGTTCGTCGGAGGTGCTCTTTCACTGAAACCGGTCATACTAAAAGGCGTCAACACAGCGTCAACACATCCAAAATGCATTAAAAGTGACAAAAGCAGTATGTAACCTATACATTATGGACAGAAACAAGATATTGGCTTAAAATCAATAGGTTAAACGTCTGAAAATTGCGATTTCCAGTTCAAGAAAATTGGCTCTCCGTTCCACTCCGAAATCGGCTGCCATGTTGCCTCAGTGGCATATCATCATGGGTGCGAGCGTTGTACAATAAACAGATCTGGCACCCCTCTGTCTGCAGCAAGGCGCCCTCTGTTGTTTCTGACAAGATAATATCATTACCTGCACACTCATACTTGAAATGGTGTAGTCCAAGCCTTGTGCGAAGTCAAGATGGAGGACAACGGCCATGCAAGTTAAAGGTCATTTTTTTCGTGTGAACATACTGGCTTTTAACAAGGAAATGGAAATTCAATCCAATTGAATTTCTCTTTTATTCTATGCTTTACAATTATATACCTTTTTGTCAATTCAGAATGTGTTTTGGATGTGTTGACGCGGTGTTGACGCTTTTTAGTGCGACCCACTGCAACAGCTCCTCACTTTTATGACTCAGCAGCAGTGATTTAGCCAAGTTTTAGTACTCACTAAGTAATATGCCAACTTTGCACATTCATGGACTTTATTTTTTTGTCAATTATTTCTTTCGTTGTTCTCATATGGAATCTAAATATTGGAGTTTGGAATATCGACTGCTTTTCGGCATCAGGAATCACCTTGTCTCTGGAATGCAATTTTAGTCCACAAAACTTCAATTTTCTCCCTTCATCCTGCATTACATTCACCTTCGAATATTCAAATCTGAAAAAGATTATTCGAATATTTGAATATTCGGCAGTCCTAGAAAACAGTGTTAAAACACACTTTGTCTATACCAGTCACCATGGTTAAGCATCTTGTTTACAGTATGTCATTGAGTGGGAAACAAAGACTTGATGAAACACTTTCTGCACAAAAATGACTCAACATTTACCGAAATGCCGATTTATTTTCAGATACATATCACAAGTACACGCGCATGTCACTGTGTGTCTCATGCATTGTATGCGTTGTGTGTCTCCGAAAATCTGTTTTCTCAATGATGCACTATAAATAAAGTGCCTAACCATGGTAACAGGTATTATAACACCTCACCCACAGATTCTGTGTCTTGATTAGCCGAGAGCGAGTCACATGTTACTTTCTAATTTTGCTATTTTTCTGTGCACGGCCAAAAGTACTATGCGCATAGCAACCAAAGTACTATACCATTAGCAACCAAAGTACTATTTCCACGGCGCGGTATTTTGTGTACAAATGCATGCTGGTGTGTGCGTTGCGCGTAGCGCGTATTATTCCAAAGAGAGCGCGCCGCAGACTTGGGTTAAAACATTTCGTGAAGGGGTAGTTTTTAAGAGAGAAATACATTTTCCACCAATTTTGTATTGAAATTGAAGTTAATTTCAACTGTGTTCAGATTTAAATAATTTAAAATAATAAAATCAAGCAGAATCTGTGGGTGAAGTGTTATAAAACAAATATTGAATGCTTTATCTCGTGGTGAAGTAAAACTAGCCTCCCTTGGTGATCCATGGACCTTTCTATTTTCCCTCGGCTTCGCCTCGGGAAAATAAAATGTCCGTGGATCACCTCGGGAGGCTAGTTTTACTACACCACGAGATAAAGCATTCAATATTTGTATACTATAGACAGAATGTGTTTCTAGGCTGCTGTTTTCTGATGAGGTTTGCCCTTACAAGTGTTACATCTGTTTTTAAGTATACTTCATGTGTCCAAAAATGAGAGAAAGCCAGAAACTGATTTTTTGGTGCTCTTTAATGAAAGCATTGGAAGCTGATTAGGCATAAAATGTATTCTTAACAGCTTTAGGAAATTGGGACAAAACCAACGGGACTGTGGTAAAAGTACAGATAGAGACATGCAAATTACCAAGCCAGGCTGCCTTATTCTACACAAACAGGATACCATCTAGCAAAGAAAAAAGTTACTTGCAAGTTTAATAACCAAACTATAAGCAAGCAGCCCAGCCAGTTTAGCAACCCTGCCTGCTGGTCAGTTAAGTAGACAAGCAGTGGCTTATCCAGCTAGGGAAATACAATAGAAATGGGAGGAGGGGCTCCAGCCCCCCCCCCTCGACCCATTGTATATCTGTATTTTAATGAACCTAGCTACGTCACTGACAAGTATAGCCAGCAAGCAAGCAAGTTTGCTTGACAGCCATCCAGTAGAGAGGAAGGCCAATAAGCTTATTAGTGTACATGTCACAGAGGTAAAAATAGGTACAGTATAGTAAGACGAATACCTGCAGTTGTAGAATATCCAGCAACAGAAGATTAAACTCCCAAGCATCTGATTCTTCCTGTCATTTGCAATAGGTAAAACACACGCCTGTTTCCAACAAAAAAATTAAACAGAATCAAACTCAAAACCTTCCAGAAAAAGTTCCCCACAAAAGTTTCTTACATCGTTTCTAATGGGTCGGACATATACCTATTAACCCCATGAGCACGGGAAGCGGTCATGGCCGCGGCCGCTAATCCTCATTGGAATGCAGTTGCCAGCTGTGGTATGCCGTGGCACACAGCTAGTGGGTAGTTCCACAGCTGCTGCTTTTGTACAGTCCCGCTACCACACAAAGGCTGTGCAGTCATGCGGGCCACTTGCTCTATGTGTGGAGGAATGTCCCCATTATAACCCGTGCTTAAGGGGTTAAGCAAGGAAAATGAAACAACATTAGAAAAGTCTCATGATAACTACTCAGTGAAAGTAAACCAAAAAAAAAATCTGAAAGCGTCACCACTGTATAGTCACCTGATTCTATGAAATAGTCCTGTGTTGTTTCCATGATGTTTAAATATGGTGGTCGAATGCTTTATTATACATAAAAAAAACTAGATAGCAGCGATCCAATAAAGGAAGCTACAAATAGCAACACTCAAGTATGTAGCAGAATTGTATGCATTTGCATGACTGCAGTTTTCCATTGTGCTTCAAAAATATATTTGTCGTCTTTTGGTCAGGCAGCCAGACAAGCCTACATGTACACTTTGGCTCATGTGTGAACGTTGCAAGTAAAACAAATTGCAATTGGATTTGCAGAAAATACTTACCCTTTGACAATCGTGGTCAATAGACTTTGTGCAGGTTCAAGGGATAGCCATAGAATTCTGTCGGTGAAATTCGCACATGTCCATCATGCAACAACCTGGAAACACAAGTTTTATGAAACATTGTTGCAAGTTGCTGCTTTTATGAGCACACGTGTGAGATAATATCACACGCTCTTAGTCAAATGATGGTTCTCCCCAATCAGAATTAAAAACAGACAATCGCAATTTAAACTAGTCTTAGTCCGATTCTAATAGCCTTACATTTTTAAGCGAACTTGTAATTGTTCAAACCGGTCATAATTATCCAAAACTGATAAAAATAGCGTGACACGGTTGGACTGGGAGGCAGATTATTGATGTGTGATATACGTGTATACTGACTGGAACAAACTTAATTGAATGCTTCTGCCAGTGTTAGTTTTGCTGTAGTAATCTGTGGGGACAAGGGGTACAACTCAGGAGTACCACCTCCCCCATGTAGCAAAAATGCTTATAAATGCACGGAGGCTATAAATATTGGGGAAGGCTTCCAAACACAGACAATACTTATTTTTCCCTATGGTTATCTATGAGTCATGAAAAGCAATGACATGTCCAAAAAAGTCAAATTTAAGAGTAAAAATATTGAGGCTTTTTCTTAGGGAAACACTTAGAATTTTTCGGAGCAGTCCCGTGGGGTTTGTGCACAGAGAAAATATTGTGGTACTAGAGTGCACCAGCTTTGGACAGGTTCGTACTTCCCTTGGACTTCTTCCACTCACCAAGCCAACAAGTTTACTATTAAAACACTAAAACCTCATTACTTACACTAAAAATGCCATCAGGTCATCATGGCACTGGCAAAATCACGATGGCCCTCAGATTATGATGTGACATGTAATCTCCAGCAGCAGACAGGGTGTTTCCTAAACACCAGACATCTACAGCAGCAGACAGGGTGACTCAAACTGTCATGAGTACACGGTAGCACCTGCAGCACTCAGCTGAATGTGGAAAAAAGACACTGGCAAATAAGAAAACTGTGGCTAACCCGCAAAGACACGATCCATCAAAAGCTGAAGGGGTGGAAGAAGCCAGTAAAGTTCCCAAGAAATATAATAATAATAACAATGGATGTGTTTTGGGGTGATATGAGAATATACCACACTCATCTCGTCATGAAAATATCGATATTATTAGGAAGTAAGCCTACAAATTATACAGGGCAGCGCGGACATCCAGGAGCTCGTCTGGATCCCAGACGTATTAGCTGTACACGAAAGATTCTTAGTCCTTCATGATGAATCAAGGAAAATTCGATCATAAAGAGCAATCATAAAAAAACTGGGGGTGTCCTGGAACTTGATCCCGCTACAGACGTGCAAAGTTATCTTCAAGTTCACTGTAAAGTAACATGTCTTGTTGACTTGATGATTGTTCACGGGTATACCCTTATAAAATTTTAGGGTACGAAAATGATGCATGACAAATCACAAATTGCTGGTCGATCAGTGGACCATGGTTTTGTGATAAGTTAGATTTTCCCCTATTGGCAAAATGTAATTACTATACCTCATACATATTCATGATCGAGAGCCGAACGTTCACTGGTCAATTCACCATCACGTGCCAGATGTTATTCTTGCTGTTTACAAATCGCGCGCGCGAGGATTCACGCACATTGTAAATACGCATGCGTAGTAGACTGTCGCATGGGTTACCTGTGCGACAGTCTACTACGCATGCGCTTTACAGAGCAATCGAGGAACTGTCGCACGGGTACAGTACGCACGCGCAAACATCGCACAGGAGAGATGCATGGTTGCACGGTTCGCGTAAATGTTAATTTTCAGAGCTCAATGATGCCGTACTGGAGAATATGTATAGACCGTGTAAAGATGTCTCCTGTACAAAAGAAAGTTGTACACATTGCAAACAACTGTATTTACAACTGTAGTAACTGTATTATATTGCAAACGAACCGAATTAGTAATTGAAGTTGAATCTTTTGTTGAGCTATTCAAGTTTCCCCGAATTTTGTTTTAGGTGCATAATAATGAAACAAAATTCGGAACTGAATATGTATGAGGTATAGTAAAACAAATATAACATGGTTTATTTCGGGTGGACAGTCGATATTAGCTCCCCTCGGTATTGGAAGTTGACAAACTAGTTCCCTCGGCTTCGCCTCGGGAACTAGTTTGCCAACTTCCAATACCTCGGGGAGCGAATATCGACTGTCCACCCTCAAACCTAGACCCGTGAACGTGGCGTTGTATACAACGCCACGCGCTTCCCTCGGGTAAATACAAGCGAAAGCATTCTATCTTTTGATCCGCTACATATGACCATGTATAATTTCGCCCATGGGTGAATCACTTACTTGTTGGGCTTCCTGTGAATATACGCAAGTGTTGGATCTGTCATTGCCAAGAAATTTAATGTAAAATACGGCACAACTTTGTCAAAACGAATGTTTCAAAATGATCAGAAATCTAAGACAGGCATGACACTCTGGTACCCCGAGTTCCGCATGCGCAAAACGGTTGGAGTATCACGAGTGGGCACCAGACTAACCGTCTTACATGGCAGGCTGACCGTAATACCATATATATTTCTGCTAAATCCACTTCGAAAGTCTGTCAAATTACCCAGTATAATTGCTGGTCCATTGTGCAAGGGTTTGTTTCAGGGATCTTTCAATAAATGAAGGTTTTTCAAACCAAATGTGCCATATTTCTCTAATCTTTTTCATTTTTCCTTCATCTTCATAATTCTGCCGAAAAAAAAATTCTGCTGATTTTCTGTACAACTCATTTTTGTATGCAAATATTCTGTCAAATGTAGCCGAAATTCGGCTAGAACGGTCACTCCATCTTTGTAACCGCGGATCACAATACAGTCTTTTTACTATAGACTGAAGCGTGGCTATGTATATAGCCACGTTCACGAGTCTACCTCAAACCATGTTATATTTGTATACTGTCACGCCATGGAGGATTAACAAATACAATGTTTGTGTGCTTTTTTCCCCGTAGGGACCGAGATGACTTGGGAACGAGTTGACTTGGGACCTAGGCTAGTGGTCTGCGACGGAGTTGAAACTGGCCTAGCCTACATCATACTACATGACATTAATGAGGCTGGCAAAGCTGGGGTTTCAAACGTTAGCTGTTCTCAAACATACTGTAACGAAATATTGCTTCGCGCACTGGGCTTCCGTAGCTGCTGAGCGCTGGTGCGCGGGATGCGTTCCGTGCGGCAGTGCACGTCGCTGGTGCTCTGCGTGCAGTGTATATAAGCGCGCTGCACGTGCGTCGCGGGCGTCTTTCCGTGCTTGCTCTTGCTCCGTGCGGACGAAAGCAAGTACGCTCTGCCGTTGCTCGCTGGCTGTTGGATTGGTGGGATTAGGCTGTACCCCGTGAACCCTAGTTGCGGGGTGAGTAGCTGCGTCTTAGGCTTATCGGTCCCGATGTCTATTGTAGTTACCCGATTGGTGATTGTTTGTGATTCTTAATTATAAAGTCCCCAAGAGATGATCATCATTGGTGTACGAATCAACCCTGTAATTAGCGCCTATATAGGAACCTGTGTATTACTTTGAATAAATCAACCAGTTCAAGTATATAAGCCTGGTGTGGTGCATAAATCGGACGTGTCTACCCTTGTGGGGTGAGCGTGTGTGCGTGGTGTGCAGACCTAGGCGCCTGGAGGTAGACTTCCCCCAAACGAGTCCGCCCCTCAGGCCTCTGCGGTTACCGCTCGTCGTGGAGGCCGAAGCCCATTATTTAGTCAGCGGCAGACGCCGCCTGGTAAAGTCCGCTACAAATTGGTGTCAGAAGTGGGATAGGCGTTGGGTTTACTTCACCTGCATAGGACACATTTTACTTCACCTGCATAGGACACATTTTACTTCACCTGTATAGGACACACAATATTACTTCACCTGCATAGGACAAATTAAATCAATCGCCTGTTAAGGACCTACATTAGACACTAGCGAGTTATGGAACAACAGCAGCAGCAGCAGAGGGCGGAAGGACCACTGACGGCGTCGCTGGATGAGAGGCGACGGGCTGAGGGGTTTGAGATTAGCCAACGGTCCCTTGAAGAGAGACGGCAGTTGGAGAAGTTGTATGCCCAGCTCCACTCAGAGTTAGACCAACTACGGGTGCAGTTAGGTGAAATAGATGTCAAGAGGCCTCGAGTACCGGAAGGGACGATGAAGTTTGAATCACCACCTTCAAGAGGAGGGTATAATGATGATTATACCGGAAGGGCCTCGACGCTGGCG